CGCAGGAGGGGAAGACCCTCTATGAGATGGATTGATTCGGTGACTGGGGTAATCGGGATGGGTGTGTCAGAGGCGCTGTGTTTGGCGCAGGACAGAGTAGGGTTTAGGGCTGTTATGCATAGGGTCGCTATGAGTCGGAAACGACTCGACGGCACATAACAACAACAACAACAATGTAAATTTTTTAGAAATGTGTTTTGTTAGATTAGTACTTTTTTCTTTTGTCTCTTACCCTTCAAATAGTGCCTAAAATAGTGGTAAATTTAATTTACTATATTAGTTTCAGATATCAGTACACACACATATGTGTATGTTTTAGTAATGTCATTGATTAGTTTGTCTACAAACATCTATGTTTATGTACATATGAATACACATCCCAAATAGTAAAATTAGTAACTCGCTCTTTTACAGAAAAAAGTGTGCTAACCCCTTTCTAAGTCAGGGAATTAACTTTCAAAAAGAATCCGAAAAATAGGAACTCGTCCCAGTGATTATTACTTAGGTGGACTGAACAGATATCAAAAATACTTCCCAGGTTTTAAAACTATGAAAAGAGATTTTATATCTTATGAAAATCTTTTTTTTTTGGTGCCATGACTTGGATACGAACCAAAATATGAAAATCTTAAAAACCATAGCTCTACCTCTCTGTCTCTGAAAGTATACTTTGGACTTCCTTTGGTCAAACAGTATAACCAAGCCGTACAGCAGTCAAAAATAGACAGCTGCAGCCTGTAATGAGCTTTCATCACCCACAGTTTAGGAAGTTTCCCGAGATTGAGCTTTGCTACAATTGTTACGCTGCCATTCCAATTCCCAGGGTCTTACCTTTAAACTGTTTTGTCGTTTGACTCTGCCTTTTGATGTGTGAGAGCAAATCCACTTACTGAGGCTACTAATCATATAGCAGATGGTCTTTGGTGAAGGGATGATATTGAAAGGTGGGGGTAAAGTACATTTGTCATCAAAGTAGCTGAGCCACAACTTGGCTCGTGCAAACTTCCATTCTTTGTCCTCATGATTCTGTAAGAGACACAAGAAAAGCACGTGTTGTTACGTACTGTCTAGTCTGAGTCGACTTAAGCTGACCCTTCAGCAGGTTTTCAGAGGCTGCAAATTGGAAGTGAGGACCCTTCTTTCACCCTTGGAGCAACTAGTGGATTTGAACTGCTTGCCTTTGGATTGGCAGCATAACTCCTTACCACTAGGCCACCAGAGCTCCCTAGAAAAGCAAATATAATAAAAATAAATATGTATATATAGAGTATAAATGCATACATATATAAGGTGTATGTATGCACACAGACACAGACAAAGAGAAAAAGTATTACCAAAGGTTTAAAAAGTAAAGACAAAATTTACAATAAAAATAATTATTGGTATCTTTTTTAAAATCTATATTTTAGGGAGCTCTGGTGGCTGAATGGCAAGAGGCTGCATTGTAATTCTGAAGGCGTGCTGTTTGAATCCACCATATGCTTCGCCGGGGAAGGAGGGGCCAGTTGGATCTGACTCAACAGTGCACAACAAGGGGGGAGGGGAGGAATTTATACTTTAAAAATAAAAAAAAGGACCAACTTAAAAAAAAAAATCTGTCTTTAACTTAAAATGATCCCATTTCTCCATTCTTCTAATCTTCGTTCAACTTACGCACTGCATACATCTGAAGGGCTGGGACACATCGCGTCAAGTCGTTGCAATGCACACTCACCGCTATGAGCTGAAAGCTTTTGTGCAGCATCGCCACCAGCAGCTTCGTGAGCACAATCACAACCACCACGTTGTACGTGCCGACGATCACCGCGCCCACGAACGACTGCAGCTCCTCTCCGTAGCTGAACCTCGTCACGAAGATGGCCACGTGTGCCAAGGAGAAGATGTACCAGAACAGGGCAAAGCAGGTGCCGATGAACCTGTCAAGACAATTCCGTCTGTGTCTCAACACACAAGGAAGCTGGGAGAAGCTGAGAGCGGCAGCTAACAGAAGAAATGAGGCTAACTGGGAATTCACCCTGAAAAAACCATAACCGCCACCCAAGCAGATATATGCACACCCATGTTTATTGTGGTTGTGTTCACAATAGAAAAGAGCTGGAAACAACCCAAGTGCCTATCAACAGACGAATGGATAGGGAAGCTCTGGTATATTCACACAATGAATGGAATACTGTGCAGCACTGAAAAACAAGGAACTCATGAAATACTCTACAAAATGGGTGACCCTTGAGGACATTATGCTGAGTGAAATACCTCAGTCACAAAAGGACAAATACTGCATAAGGCCACTGTTGTAAAAGGGGACTGACATCAGGGTTGAGGGAAAAGAGAGAAGGAGAGGAGGAATGATGTATACTACACTGAAACAGATGAGGGAGAAAACTATTTAAAAGGGTTATATGGTTGAGTATTATTGTCATGACAGGAGTCCAGAGTGAAGGCTGCATAGTGGAGTGGACTTGGGGGAAGGGATTGCATAACAATGAAAGAGTTTTTCTTTTACTTTTCAAGGAGATGTATGAATTGGGGGGAGGGAGAGGTGGGCAGGGAGAAAAGTGCAACAATTAATGAATGGAAACCCTAGGTCTCTGTCAACTTTTATTAAAATTAATTTTAAAAAAGAAATGAGGCTAATGCCTATAATGCAGATGTGCCCTAACTGAAACAGGAAAGCGACCCAAAGGCAAACACTCGATTTGTAACTATTGAATCCTCGCTGCCGTTCTGTTTTGTTCTTAACATAGCAACTTTCCTATCAGATTCAACTGAAGGAAACCTAACTGAAGGAAGCCTAGGTTGATAGGGTCACTTTTCCACTTGTTAAACAGATAACCCAAGGTTCTTCTTTATAGATTTTTTTTAAATGAAGGTGTTTTTTTTGGGGGGGGTGTTGTTGCTTGTTTTATTTCTTGTTGTGAACCATCGAATCAGATCTGACTATCTCAGGAGGTGACTGCCCCTTCTTCTCCAGAGGAGCATCTGGTGGATTCGAACTGCGTGTCTTCAGGATTGCAGTGCAGCTTCTTGTCACTAGGCTACCAGAGCTCCCTCCAAGGTTCTTTTAAAGGACTGGCAAGGTCCTCTGTGACCCCTCTTTACTGATTTCACTGCCTACAGTGCTCCTTCCATCCAGTCACACTGACTTCTTGGTTTTTCTGTGGCGTGCCACCATATTCCCACATCAGGCTTTTTTGCCTTCTCTCTGTAAAGACTCTTCGTCCAGATACTTTTCCTAGCTTGCTCCTTCACTTGCTTTAGGTTCTTATTTGAGTGCAAGAACTTATGCCTTTCCCAAATCCTTATGTTAAAAACATCTTATGATATACACATTATTATTATTATTATTATATTATTATTCCCCATTGTTGTGAGTTACTGTCCATCTCATGACACTCCCAAAGACAAGAGCAACACTCTCTGATCCAACACCATCCACGTGATCACCAGCATGCTGGATTCTGTGGATGTCTCCTAACATAGGAGGCTCATCTCCCAGGACTATACTGAATAATATTCAGTTGTGATCCAAATGGTTTTAACTAGGCAATTTCAAAAGTAGATTATCAGAACTTCCTTCCAGACTTGGCTTAGTGTGGAAGCTCTATTGAAACCTGTCAGTCATGGGCAACCCTGTTGGTATTCTATCCTCTACTTCAAACTTTGTCTCCTCAACCTCGTCTTTGTGTAACAGATGTTACTTGTTTGTCTTATTTACTGCCTGTTGTGTTGCTAACCCAAAGCTCACACCACTCTGGCACTTGGAATCCGCCAGTGGCCTCCAGAGAATAGGCGAGCTCGTCTCCCAGTGGAGTTGGCTCTGACTCGAGGGCCATGAGAAAGAAGAAATTCACATACAACAGAAAGAACTATTTAAGAACACTTAACAGCCACTCACGAGTGAAATGTGTCATTGCTCTGCTGTTCACAGAAGATGCCCACACAGTCCTTTTGTTCCTTTGAAGTATAGCCCTTATCATAGAGCTGTGTCAGGCCAATGGTGAAGGAAAAGAGAACAAGGAGGAACATCCCAAGGAATTTTCCAAAGTCTTGTAACATCTGTCCCATTGAAATCTGCAGAATATGTTAGAAAGGTGATCGTTGAAATCATGAGGAAAAGCAAAATATTCAATAGTTAACCAAATATTTGACCAAAAAAAGAGGAAGACAAAACACATGCTCATAAGATTATCATTTTCCTTCTGATTTTTAAGTATTTTAAACTTTTAAAATATCCAAAATGCAACTGCTTAACAAAACCATGACCCTAGTCATGTTATTGTCATTCTCACTTGCATGCAGGCCATGGTGCAGATCTACCAGTCTGGGATTCCATGATATCTACCATTCAATGTTTCTGAAAAGAAATATCTCCATGCCCAAGGATATCCTAAAATGCAAAGCACCTGCTTTCCATGTGTGAGAAACTGCAAGGCCATGCCACTCATGCTGTATGGTGCTCTAGCTTCCTTCTGACAATTACCTAGTTAAATGTAACAACTCACTAAGAATGAAATATACATTGACTACACTCACTTTCCAGGTTCCTTATGTTCTTTTCCGGATCTGCCAGTTAGGCCCCTAACCATATAGAGAACGAAGGAATGATTCTAAACATTTCTTGAAAGCCCATCATGTGGCAAGCGCTCTGCTCTGCTTCTTATAGACACTGATCCATTTCTCCCTCCCAACACCGGATGCATACACCAAGGCTCAGAGATTTAGTAACATGGTAACGAGCATCGGAGCAGTCAGAATACAAGCTATCAGAACACAAGAGAGTGCTCAACCATTTGGAGTGTTAGTAATTCTCATAATTAGACTGAAGGAGAGCAAGACATTGATAAGCATCTCAGTTACCATAAATGTTAGGAACTAGAATACACTACAGACCCTAATAGACTCTTCTCCTTAAGTCTGATTGGCTCATTGACACAACTCCAGAATTAATTAAGTCACGGGGCGGGGGTTTAGCTGAAATGTCTGGAACCCCACAGTCTGGCTGATATTCTGCTGATTTCCTATGAAAGAAATTCTTCAAGAAAGACATACTCCCCTTGTTCTGAACAAAGTTGGGAGGAAATGATTTTATCGAGGTGAGAAGCATAAGGAACTCCTCCAGTCACGTCATCCCCTTCTTCAAAAAAGCAGCAGTCTTCTTTTCACTTTGCTTCTGTAGGCATGAGGCCTGGAAGGGAGGCGTCACGGCGGCCTAGATAAGGACACAGGCTGACTGTTGCTCTTTTGAGGACTGAGTACCCGACCACTGAAAAGGTGGTAGTGTGTTAACGTGGGAAGAGAAGGGGGCAGAGAGGACGGGGAAGTGGGTCCCTCTACCCTGCAGCTGGGGCCTGATCACGGCCATTGGAGGACGACAGCAGATTTCTCTTCAGATAGATGTTGGGTTTGAGAATTCCTAGGCCAGCAAGAGTCTAACTCCTGAAGGACTGTTTTCCCTGAAAGCCAAGCCCCTCTCCCCTTTATCCTGCTCACACTGTTCCACTGTCCTTACACCACCAAATTTTGTAAACTGTCTTTCCACTCCTAAGAACTGCTTTTAAAATACTTCTATGTTGTATACAGTGAGATATTAAAGGCATTCATCTCAGGTTTTTCATCTCGTTAGAGAGACTTCCATTTCCAACTGTTGTTATGTGCTGTTGAGTTGTCTGCAACTCATAGCAACCCTGTGTACAACAGCTCTGAACCCTGCTCTATCTTGAGCCAACATCATTGTCTCTAACACACCTACCCAATTACGCCAGTCCCTGAGTCAAGCCATCTCATCCAGGGTTTTCTTCTCTTGCGCTCTCCCTCCACCTTCCCAAGCATTATGTCCCTCTCTAAGGACTCATCTTCCCTTGCAACATGCCCAAAATATGTCAGACAGACCTTCAGAATTCTTGCCTCCAAGGAGCATCCTGCTTTCACCCTCTCCAGGATGAACCTATTTGTACTCCTGGCAGTCCACGGTATATTCAACACTCTTCTCTAGCATCACAGCTCAAAGGCATCAAATCTCCTCAGTCATCCCTAGCCATTATTTGCAAAGAAAATTCTATCTTACTAAAGAATGACTGAGTTTTGTACAATGACTTATTCTTTGCAATACCGTGGTTGTTTGTGGTTTGTTGTTCTTTGTGTTTGGTTTTTTTTTTTAAAAAAACAAAACAAAAAACACAAAAAAACAACCACCCACAAATGGTGATTATACATATGGACCTCACCTGATGGAACTACAAAGAAATCAGATTGACTACATCTATGGGAAGAATCTCTGGAGAAGCTCAATATCAGCAATTAAAACAAGGCCAGGTGTTGACTGTGAAACAGACCATCAACTACTTAAGTGCAAGTTCAAATTGAAGCTGAAGAAAATTTAAACAATTCCATAAGAACCAAAATACAACTTTGAGTCTACCCCATCTGAATTTAAAAATCACCTGAAGAAGAGATTGTCAGAAACACTGACAACTGCACTAGTGTTGGGAAGCCAAAAGAATGGGAAGAGTTGACAGAGAGCCAAACAGAAGATTTCAAAGAGCAGCCTGAGAGAACAAGGAAAGTAGTATGATGGAATGTACAAAGAATCGGAGTTAGAAAATAGAGGAGGGACTTATTCAGCATTTTTTCAAGGTGAAAGAATGGAAAAACATATTCAAGCTTCAAGTTGCAATACTTAAGGATGCTCTAGGTAAAATCTTGAATGATCCAGCAAAATTTGGAGGGAATACACAGTCGTACTGAAAAACAATTGGCTGACCCAGAATTGTTTCAAGAAGTAGCAAATGATGAAGAACCAATGGTAATAAAGGAAGACGTTCGAGCTACATTGAATGCACTAGCAAAAAATGAGACTGCAAGAACTGATGGAATACCAACTGACATGATTCAACGAATAGATGCAGCCCTACTCAACAGTTTGCGCCAGGGAATTTAGAAGACAGCCACTTGGTCAACTGAGTGGAAAAGAGCCATATTTGTTCGCATTCCGAGAAAGCGTTATCCAACAGAATGTGAAACTGTGGAACAGACCATCAACTACTCATATGCAAGTTCAAATCAAAGCTAAAGAAGATTAAATCAAATCCACAGGAACCAAAATTTGATGTAGAGTTTATCCCACCTGAATGTCAAAACCATCTCAGGAACAGATTTGAGGCCTTGTACACTAATAAAAAAACAGATGAGCTGTGGGAGGATATCAAGAATAAATATCATCCATGAAGAGTGCAAAAAAATCATTACAAAGACAGAGGAGGAAGAAAAGACCAAGATGGATATCTGAAGAGACTCTAAATATTGCACTAGAGTGCAGAGATGCCAAAGCAAAGGGAAGCAGAGAGTTAAGGAGCTGAACAGAAGATTTCAAAGGGTGGCTCAGGAAGATAAAGCAAAGTATTTTAATGAAATGTACAAAGAGCTGGAGTCAGAAAAATCAAAAGGGCCGAACTCGCTTGCCATTTTTTAAGTTTAAGGAACTGAAGAACACATTCAAGCCTCGAGATGCAATACTTAAGGATGTTGCGGCAGAGTACTGAATGATTCAGGAAGCAGTAAAAGAAGATGGAAAGAATACACAGAGTCACTGCACCAAAAAGAATAGGCTGACACAGAAGAATTTAATGAAACAACATATGATCAAGAGGAAATGGTGATGAAGGAGGAAATTTAATCTGCTCTGAAGGAATTGGCCAAAAACAAGGCCCCAGGAATTGATGGAATACCAGTTGACATATTTAAACAAACAGATGCTGCCCTGGATATATTCATCAGGTAGGACCAAGAAATCTGGAGGACAATTAACCTGGCTAACTGACTGGAAGAAATCCATATTTAATCCCATTCCAAAAAAAGGGCAACCTGACAGAGTTTGGAAGTTAACAAACTTGCTGCAGAAGGTTAAGGACTGTAGTCTTCAATATGGACTGAAGCGCAACATTAAGAAAACAAAGATTCTCACCACTGGACCAGTTAGCAACACTATGATGGCTGGAGAAGAGACTGAAGTTGTTAACAGTTATAGATGTTCAGCTCCACAATCAACACTCTGGCACCACCAGTCAGGAAAGCAAAAGATGAATTGCAGTGGCAAGACGCTGTGCTGCAATCCCAAAGGCATGCAGTTCAAGGCCACCAGCTGCTCCCCAGGAGAAGGATGGGCAATCTCCTCCTGTGTGATTAAATGCCTCTGAAAAAACCACCAGAGAGTCAGCTATGGGTTGGCTCTGACTCTATGGTACACACCACCACCACCAACAAAAACAAATCTGCTATCAGGGATCTTTCCAAAGCGTCGAGAAGCAACAATGTCAGTCTAGAGAATAAGGTGTGCCTGATCCAGGCCATGGTCTTCACAATTACTTGCTATGCATCAAGGAGCTGGACAATGACTAAGGATGACAGAAGAATCGATGCCTTAGAGTGGTGTTGGAGAGGAGTCTTGAACCTACCATGGACTGCCAAGAAAACAAACAGGTCTGTCTTGGATAGGGTAAAATCAAGTTTCTCCTTGGAGGCTTGGATTTTAAAGTTCTGTCTCACATACTTTGGGCATCTGGCGATCCTTGGAGAAGGACATCATGCTTGCAAGGGTGGAGTGACAGCGCAGGAGAGGAATACCTCAGATGAGATGAACTGATACAGTAACTAGGGTAATGGGGGTAGGTGTGTCAGAGTCAGTGAGACTGGCTCAGAAAAGCACAGGCTTCAGAGCTGTTGTACACAGAGTCACTGTCAGTCGAAGGTTACTCGACAGCACATAACATCACTAATATCACATACAAGCAAAATCCTGCTGAAAATTACCCCAAAATGGCTGGAACAAGTACATCGACAGAGAACTACCAGAAACACAAGCTGGGTTTAGAAGAGTTTGTATCTCTAGAGACACTATTGCCACTGTCAGATGGATCTTGGCCAAAAGCAAAGAGACCAGAGGAATGTCTATCTGTGTTTCATTTACTATGCAAAGGCATCTGACTGTGTGGATCACAACAAATTGTGGCTAATCTTGAGAAGAACAGGAATCCCAGCACACTCGATTGTATTCACGCAAAACCTATACTTGGGACCAGGAAGCAGTCCCTTAGAACAGACCAAGGAAACACTGCATGGTTCAAAATCAGAAAAGGAGAACATCAGGGATGCATCCTGTCTCCATACCTTTTCAATCTGTATGCAGAACAGATCATTCAGGAGGCTGGGTTTCTGTGGAGGAATGTGGCATCAGGTTTGGAGGAAGACTCATCAACAACCTACAATATGCAGATGACACAACCTTGTTTGCTGAAATTGAGAACTTGAAGTGTTTGCTGCAGAATATCAAGGACTGTAGTCTTCAATATGGATCAAAGCGCAACACCAAGAAGACAAAGATTCTCACCACTGGGCCAACTGGCAGTACCATGAGAGAGAGAGATGAGACTTTGGTTGTTAACAACTTCAGCTTGTTCAGGTTCACATTAACACTCTTGGCACCAGCAGTCAGGAAATCAAGACAAATTGCATTGGGGAAGTCTGTTGTCAGGAACTTCTCCAAAGTGTCAAAGAGTAATGATGTCAGTCTAGGGACTAAGGTGCACCTGATCCAGGGCATGGTGTTCACAACTACTTGCTATGCATCAAAGAGCTAGACAATGACTCAGGATGACAGAAAAAGAATCAGTATCTTTGAGCTACAGTGCTGGATTGACCATACCATAGACTGCCAAGAGAACAGGTCTATATTGAACAGGGTGAAACTAAGTTTCTCCTTAGAGGCAAGAATTGTGAAGTTCCATTTCACATACTTCAGACACATGGCCAGGAGGGACCAGTCCTTTGAGGACTTCGTGCTTGGAAGGATGGAGACACAGTGCAGGAGAGGAAGACCCCCCGATGAGATAGATTGACACAGTAACTGGGGGAGTAGGGGTGGATGTGTTAGAGCCAGTGAGATTGGCTTTGAATAGGGCAGAGTTCAGAACCATTGTGTATAAGGTTGCTATGAGTTGCTGCCTGCTATGAGTTGCTGGCGACTCAATGGCACATAACAGCAACATCATTAATATCACATGCAGGTAATAAAATCTTGCTAAAGATTATCCCAAAATGGCTAAATTTAGAAGCAGCCGTGGCACTAGTATTAAATGGATCTTGGTAGAAAGCAGAAAATATCAGAAAAAACGTTTATTTATGTTTTATTGAGCATGCGAAATCTTTTGACTGTTCATCAAAACAAACTGTGGCTAACATTAAAAAGAATGGGAATCCCAGAACACTTAATTATGCTCAAACATTACCTGTATCTAGACCAAGAAGCCGCTATCCTGTTCCAGTACAAGGAACACTGTACTGTTTAAATGAAGAGAGAGGTACGCTTTCTCTATACCTATTAAATCTGTATGCTGAGCAAACCACTCGAGAAACTGGACTTTCTATAGAAGAATGTGGCATGAGGATGGGAGCAGGATGCATTAGCAACTTGTGTCATGCAGATGATACAACTTTGCTTGCTGAGAATGAGGAGGACTTGAAACACTTGCTGCAGAAGGTCAAAGACTACAACCTTCAATATATATTACATTTCAACATCAAGAAAACACAAGTCCTCACCACTGGGCAAATAGGCAATATAATGATAGATGGAGAAAAGACTCAAGTTGCCAACCATTTCATGTAACTCGGATTCATAATCAACATCCTCGGTATCTGCAGTAAGGAGATCAAATTTCCACAAGGCATATCTTTATTTAGATTTATTTTGTCCCTCTATTCCTTATCCTGCTGTTACCACTTGTTTTCTTCTGTGGTTCCGACTCTGTTCCATTTCTTAACTGGATCAAATCTATAGTGAGGCAAGACCCTTTTTGAGTACTCAATCCCCAAACCCAGTGTGTTATGAAGTCTTCAAGCTTGGGTGTTTATCACAGACATCATTGTGACCAGTTTAAGTAAGCAGTAAACCAGCAGCTCCCACTAGTCCTTCAGGCGGTTCCTTCTCCCCAGGTTGTGTTCTCACACCAGTGCTCTGCGAACAGCCAAGCCTCTGCCCATTTCTAGCTCTCTGTATGCAACCGTCTCCTTTCCAGTCCTCTTTCCTGTTAGTGTTACTCAATTTGCTCTTGTCAGAGCTAGGTGTCTTGCAAACTCAGAAATTCTGCCAGGTTCTGAGTAAATGTTCCCTCCTGGGGCAGTAGGCCTGAAAATTCTCACAAAGGAGTAAGTTGCGGCAAGCTGTGTTTCTCTGCACACATCACGTGGCATCTCTTTAACTATAAATGCAGAAGTGCAATTTCATGAACTATAAAGAAAAATACTGGGCAACACAATCTGTAAAAAATGTCAGTTCTAAATGTTCTACACTCCACATTCTCATATGTAGCATTTATTAAGCAAAATTAAAATATTTTTATTTTCTACATTGGTTTATTTACAAAGTTTGAATATATTCTTTTTCACACTTAATTTTAAAGGCATAACATACGTATTTTCAAAATCATTCTGAAGAATGATTTTGATTTTCTGATTGTGCTGGACCTACCTTGAACTTATTATCACCTAAAACACTTGAAATCTTAAATGTGAGGATCATTCTGGTAAAAAGATCTTTACATTCCTCTGTTGGAAGAACCAGAGTAATGACACAGACAGACCTATATCCAGGGAGTGAGAGGAGGAGGAGGCCAGTGGACCACAGTGCAATTCAGCTCCCTTGCAGTGGACGACTCCAACTTACAGTGACCATACATATGGGAAGTAGGGTTGTGTTTATTAAGAGATGATGTTTTAGGAAGCAGACTGTAAGTCTTTATTCCCAAGCGTCCCCGGGTGGTCTCTAACTTCTAACCTGTAGCAATGTGAACTGTTTGTAGCACTCAGGGACTCCGCTGAAAGCAAAGGATTACTATTTAGCCAAAGCAAGGCAAATGGGTGGTGCTGTGTAATTCCAATTGTTAATTATTTTTCCAAAGCAAATTTTAGCTTTCACATCATGAGGAAATAATGTTCTAGGGACCAAGCAGAAAGAAGTAATAATCACATCTAAGAAACAGTATTTAAAAAACAGCATGATTTACCTGCAATGGACCCAAGATAGAGCTGGTTGTATACATAAAAAAGAGCCGAAGGTAACTCAGAACATTCGCAAACGCAAAAAGCCCTTCTGCCACCAGCGTGGGGTGGAATGCATCCCAGTCCTTCCGGTCAGCGAAATCATGAAACTACGGTTGGAAAGAAAAACAGGCAAAGATAAGCAGGAATAGAAAAGGCAAATATTCAAATATCTTGGCTGTGGAAAGAAAAGCATTTCAACCTTCTATCCTTCAGGGATTTCCATTCATATTTTATAGCATTCTCTTGAGAAATTATGCTTTTAACAGCATAAAAAAAATTCCTACATCTGTGAAGTAAAATCATTTGACTCTATACCAAAAGGTTTCTCGAAAAATTATTACATCTTAAACAAAAAAAATTTGCCACTTAATTTTTTTTTAAAAAGTTGATTCATTTTTCTTCAATTTTAACATGCTAACTTTTAGCATATACACTGACAATTAGTTAGCTATCATATAAAAGTGACCTAGTCTTCTTACTCAGGGAGCTCTAGTGGTCTAGTGCTAAGAAGCTGCACTGCAATCCAAAGGCACGTGGTTCAAATACACCATCTGCTCTGTAGACGGATGGACAATCTCTTCCCCTGCAATTTATTGCCCCTGAAAACCCACAGGAGGATCAGCTAGGAGTTGGTTCTGACTTGACAGCATACAACAATAAAAAGTCCTTGAGTCAGGATTCTAGAATGAACTACAGAGGTGCTTTTGTCCTCTTTCAAACTCCAAGAGGAAAGAGAGCATTATTATATCTAGATATAAAGTGGTCCTGAGTCCTTACTGACTGGGAAACTTTCAAACTATACACCAGTTGTTTTGTTTTATGACCATTTTATGACCTTTCTAAGATAATTAAGAGCTCTGGTGGCAAGAAGCTGTGCTGCAATTCTGAAGGCATATGGTTTGAGGCCACCAGCTGCTCTATGGGAGAAGAATGGGCAGTCTCTCTCCATGTGATTAACTACCTCTGAAAACTCAGTGGAGGGTCCATTATGGGTCGGTTCTGACTCAATGATACACAACAACAACAACATAACAGTTATACTATTACTGCATATCTCATGGGATACTAAATATATATATACACACAATGACACAATGATTAATCCCTTTTCATTTCTAAAAGTGACCAAATTTGGGCAATATATGGGCAGCCCAACTGTAGAACTGAAGAAATCAGTCTGAAAAATATAACGTCCTTCAACCTCTTTTCATGTATCATCAATTTGGTGTTTTTTTCTTAGAAGAGTGGCAGCACTGTGAACTTAACAATGTTCTGTACTGATTAACCAGATGAACAGAATTTTGAATACAGTAAAATGATGTAAAGCAACTGGTCTATTTTTTTCCCCTATTGTATATAAACTGGCAAAAATAAAACAGTCATACCGAAAAGCCCAGAGAAAAAAAATTTATGTCTTTTAGTTCTTTGTCATCCCCTTTAAAGAACTCTAAATTTAGGACATAAAGAAAGATTTTTTTAAAAAATCCAATGACAAACTATTATTTTTTGTGGGCTTGAGGGAACTTAAAATCTTGATAGGAAAAAATATGATTATGTTTTACTAAATTTTAAGTAAGAGCAATACTTTTGTAAATTATTACCTTACTTGGGAGGAACTGGAGAGCATTATGCTGAGTGAACTAACTTAGTCTCATAAAGACAAATACTGTATAAAACCATTATTGTAGAATGAGTACAAAGATCCAAGGAGGAGGGAAGGTGGTAGCAGAGGGGTGAGGATCTGCGGGGGATCAGGAGGATTAATAATGGGGTTTCACAATTTGATGGGAGGTGAAAGAAATGAGAAGAAACTGGTATGAAAAACAATGTATTCAAATTTTGTAAATAAACTAGTATAATTTTTTTTAAAAAAAAGCTGTTTAAGACTAAAAAAATATCATATGGAGTGTGAAATGTACTATAATAATTTCCAGTTAAGCTTTGGTCCTGGAAAATAAGATACCTAACATTAGTCATTTTAAGTTACTTTGTGCTATTATCTTAAGTATGTACAGGTTAAAAACTCGAGTTGCTATAATCAAGGATGCTTTTGGCAGAACGTTAAATGATCCCGGAAGTATTAAAAAAAGATGGAAGGAATATACTGAGTCACTGTATCGAAAGGAATTGGAAGACACAGAAGAATTTCATGAAACAACATATGAGCAAGAGCCTATGGTGATGAAAGAAGAAGTTCAGGCTGCTTTGAAGGACATGGCCAAAAATAAGGCTCCAGGAATAGATGGTATACCAATTGATATATTTCAGTTAACAGATGCTGCCCTGGACGTGCTCACCAAGTTGTGCCAAGAAATCTGGAGAACGACCACTTGGCCAACTGACTGGAAGAGATCGATATCTGTTCCTATCCCAAAGAAAGGCGACCCAACCGAATGTGGAAACTACAGAACAATTTCACATGCAAGCAAGATTTTACTGAAAATTATCCAAAAACGACTGGAACAGCACATCAACAGAGAACTACCAGAAGCCCAGGCTGGTTTCAGAAGGGGTCGTGGTACTAGAGATATTGTAGCTGATGTTAGATGGATCTTGGCTGAAAGCAGGGAATATCAGAGGAATGTCTATCTGTGCTTCATTGACTATGCAAAGGCATTTGACTGTGTAGATCATAATAAACTGTGGCTGACTCTGAGAAGAATGGGAATCCCAGAACACTTGATCGTTCTAATGCGAAACTTATACTTGGACCAGGAGGCAGTCGTCAGAACAGAGCAAGGGAACACTGCATGGTTCAAAATTGGGAAGGGCGTACGCCAGGGATGCATCCTATCTCCATACCTCTTCAACCTATATGCAGAACAGATTATCCGGGAGGCTGGGCTCTATGAAGAGAAATGTGGGGTCAGGATTGGTGGACGACTTATCAACAATCTGCGTTATGCGGATGACACAACCCTGCTTGCTGAAACTGAGGAGGACCTGAAGTGCCTGCTGCAGAGTGTCAAGGACTGCAGCCTGCAATATGGATTGAGGCTCAATGTCAAGAAGACAAAGATTCTCACCACTGGACCAATCGGGAGCATCAGGATGGATGGTGAAGAGATTGAGATTGTACACAGCTTTAGTTTGCTTGGCTCCATAGTCAACAGTCTTGGCACCAGCAGCCAGGAAATTAAAAGGCGCATTGCCATGGGAAAGTCTGCTGTTAGGGACCTCTCCAAAGTGCTGAAGAGCAGTGGTGTCTCTCTGGAGACTAAGGTGCGTCTGATACAGGCCATGGTCTTCGCAATCACCTGTTATGCATCAGAGAGTTGGACAATGACCAAGGAGGATAGAAGGAGAACTGATGCCTTTGAGCTGTGGTGCTGGAGAAGAGTACTGAGAATACCATGGACTGCTAGGAAAACAAACAGATTTGTCCTGGAGAGGGTTAAACCGGGTGGCTCCTTGGAGGCAAGGATTCTGAGGCTCTGTCTAACTTACTTTGGACATGTAGTGAGGAGAGACCGGTCCTTGGAGAGGGACATCATGCTTGGGAGGGTGGAGGGACGGCGCAGGAGAGGAAGGCCCTCTATGAGGTGGATTGATTCAGTGACTGGGATAATTGGCATGGGAGTGTCAGAGACAGTGCGATTGGCACAGGACAGAGCGGAGTTTAGGGCTGTTGTACATAGGGTCGCTATGAGTCGCAGGCGACTCGACGGCACATAACAACAACAACAACAACATGTACAGGTTGGAGAGGCAAATTAACCCAGATGAGATATAAGGAACTGGCATTTGGTAGAAAGAACATGTCTAGACAGACTGGATTTAAATCCAGTCTTGGCGTCTTACTTTGTGTTCTTGGACAAGTTACTTACTATCTCTGGGTTCATTTTCCCTATTTGCAAAGCATAAGGTCTCATAGTCTCTGTGAGGATAAAATGAGATAAAGTAAATCAAGTGTTAACCAATGTGCCTAACATATATGATAGGTAACTAACACCTAAATAGAATGAACATCCTTTAAACTACTGGAAAAGACAGAAAACAATGTAGACTGTTCCATTGCACATATAGTGAGATAGATTTAAATGAAACCACCAGAGATACATCGACCAGTGTAACTCTGAGTTACACAGCTAAAAGTTTCAGGTACTTTCTTTTACATTACTATTATTGTTAATTTTCTGTTTTATTGTGATGTTAACAACAAGTTACAGAAAACAACTTGGGTTTCCATTTCAGGTTCTTTCTAAGTAAACTTAATTTGTCCCACCAACTGACGAAGTTAATAGTCACCTTGTTATGAGCCACCATTTTGAGGGCAAAAGTTGCCAAATAAAGAGAATTCATGACAAAACTGAGTTGATTACGAGATTCTTCCAAAAAGTCTTCCAACCCTTCATACCAGAGTCTTTTAATGTCTGACCATATCATTCCTGAAAAAAAGAGGGACAGATAATCAGATACCATTCACTTAATTCAGTAATAAACTAATGCATTGTTAAGATTCCAAGAAGCGTAAATAAGTAACACTTAAGCAAGCTAGAACCTCACTCAAAAGAAACCAGAATTTTCTCGTAAAAACATCCCCTTATTTGTTTTTAACAAACAGTAGTTTAAAGTGATATGAAAAAATATACTCGACTCATTCCTGTCGAGGTTTGGCTGGGGCACAGCTGACCTACAGCAGGTTGTCAGAAAGCTGTTAACCACACAGGGGGAGACTGTCCCTGTTCCTCCTGCAGAATAGCTGGGGGGGGGGGGTTCAAACTGCCAGAGGTGTGCAGGCTTTGGATTAATGGCACATCTACGGATTGTGCTGTCAAATTGACTACAACTCATAGTGACCTGATGAACAACAGATATGAGCCTGTTCCATCCACTAAAAAAACCTGATTGTCCCGCCCCAAACACAGATCAAGGGCTCAGTCTGTTCCCTTTTTGTCTTTAACCACATTATTACTGAAATAATCTCATGCTGTTTCATCACCTTGTTGTTGGTGTTATGTGCCGTCGACCCACCTGCAGCTTATAGTAACCCTCTGCACAATTCCTATCTTGAACTAATCTCACCGTCTCTGACATACCCACCCTCATTACCCCAGTCAACGCATCTCATCTGAGGTCTTCCTCTCCTCTGCTGTCTCTACACCCTTCCAAGCATGATGTCCTTCTCCAGGGACTGGTCTGTCCTGCCCACCTGCCCACAGTATGTGAGAAGAGCAAGCTTCAAAATCCTAGCCTCCAAAGAGCAGCTTGGTTTCTCCCTCTCCAGCTTGGATTTATTTGTTCTCTTGGCAGTCCACGGTATGCTCAGCACACTTCCAGCACCACAACTCAATGGTATAGATTCTTCTGTCCTCTTCAGTCATTGTCCAGCTCTCTGATGCTTAGCTAGACCATGGCCTGGATCAGGCTCACCTTAGTCTCTAAACTGACATTGTTGCTCTTCAGCACTCTGACCCAGTGGTGAGAATCTTTGTTTTCTTGATGTTGAAGAGGAAAAGGAAGACTGCTACCAACTTTTGTGGTCAGAAATCTACTGAACATGCAAGCAAGATGCATTAATCATAATGTGGGTGATCGGAATGCAAAAATTGGGCACAGAGAAGAAGGATCGAATCATGGTCTTAAATACAATCTAAGTGGCAAATACTCTCAAATAAGATCATTAAATTTAATCTAAGGATTCCTAGTGGCACAGTGGATAAGCACTTGACTGCCAGCCAAAGGGCCAGAGGTTCAAACCCACCAGACACTCTGTATGAGAAAGACTGACAACCCGCTTTCTATGGGGACATTTCTTTCCTGCCCAATAGGGTCACTATAAGTCAGAATCAGGGTCAGTGGGCATGAGTAAACCTAACCCAGATCTACAACCAGTATAAATCTCCCTCCTGGACATCTTATATAGTTAACTGTCTATTCTACCTCTTCAATTGGATGTCTAAACTGACACCTTAGTATACAAAAACTTCTAATTTAATCTCTGTTCACTCACCCACTGCACAGCAGATCTTCCTATTTCTCTTTGTTTTATATTTTATTTTAAATGTCATTTTAACACAAGTTTACAAAAAGTTAGGTTTTTCATTCCTTCATTGTTGTACATTTTTACTACTATCCTTCTCCCCCCACCAGTTTACTCTTTTATTTAAACATTCACTCATTGTTGTATAATTATGCACCTCCCCCACTAAGTCCTCTTTGCAATGTACCACTTATTCTGAGATTTTCCCATTTCAACTGACAACAATTATAGTCTTTCAGTTGCTCAATTCAAATGCCCTTGTATCATCTGTGACTTCTTTCTATTAACCCCCACATTTAACCTAATAGCAAATGGCTCTATCTTCAAAACATACATAGACTCTTTTCTCCTTACCACTTCAACTGCAGCATCCTCTCTTGCCTGAAGACCCTGGATGAGATGGATTGACTCAGTGACGGGTAATGCGGGCGGGTGGGTGTGTTGGAGACGATTAGGTTGGCTCAGGACAAAGTAGGGTTCAGAGCTGTAGTACACAGGGTCACTAGGAGTCACAAGTAACCCCACGGCACTTAACAACAACTTAAGTGAATCACTGAACTAGCCTAACTGACCTTTCTGCCTCTTTCTCTTCGGGAAATCTTTTCTCAGCACAACAAATACTGTGGGAAACAGGAAGGCCGATTGTTACTTCTCTCCTCAGAACACTAGAAGCTACTCAGAGAGGCAACAAGAACTCACAGGAGGACTGAGCTTTCTCCATGGGGCCATGACCTCAGTTTAGGATTTCCTAAAATGGTCTCCTTGGAAACATGCTCTCGAAGGTCAGCTGTGCTCTCCGTTGTTATAAAAACAGCCACGAGGAAACCGTATCTGGTCTAAGATGTCTTTAAGTGGCCTCGCAGTCTCTGCAGGTACACACAGCCGTGGTCATTTCAGATACAGGGCCTTCGGCTCGGAATGAGCCTGCAGGAGAGCTAAACTGTAGGGCTTTTACAAACTAGAATTCCTGCTGTGTTTGAGGCAATTCCAGATAGGGTGGTCCACATTCATCCACATAGTCTCATTCCCTACAGGTAAGTGTGTCTACTTCCTAGATTTTACACGGACTCAATAAAAAAAAAAAATCTGAAACTGTCATGTGTACACTCTAGGTCTTGTATGTATCCTTCTACAAAGTTAAACAAAGCTCGGTGGCAACCTACTGTTCTACAAATGTGAATGTCAGTGAAAATCCAAGAATCAACTGCTGCTAATTTGAGAGAAAATTGCACTACTAATTTATCCTTACACAACTCCAGTCACACTGACGTCCTGGCTTATTTCTAGTTCTCTGAACATAGACAACTCCTGTCTTCATACCTTAACATTAGCCCTTTTCCCTGACTGGAAGCTCCTTGACAAACTATCTACTTGCTTGACCTCCTCATTTCAAGTCTTTGCTCACCATTTACCCTGATCATCCAATTAAAAAGTCCAAGTTCCATGCTCCCATTTATTCCCAATCTCCTAATTCTGAATTTTCATTTCTTTTCCATGTATCATCATGTTCATTTTCTAATGCCACATAGCATTGATTTTTGTTTCTACTTTGAGTAAGTTCTTTAAAGGTAATAATGGTTAATATAATTGATATCCCAAAGTTCTGAATAGTACCTGATACATAGTGGGTGGTCAGCAATATTTGTTAAATGATAATTATACACAAAAAGCAAACCAACATAAAATCCCTCCCTTTCTGGGTAGAGGGTAGATGTTTGCCCATAATTACATATCCCTATGTGCCTGGCACCAGGGATATCACCGCTGATGTCAGATGGAACCTGGCTGAAAGCAAAGAATACCAGAAGAATGTCTATTTGTGCTTTATTAACCATGCAAAGGCATTTGACTGTGTGGATAATAACAAATGATGGCTAATATTGAAAAGAATGAGCATCCCAAAACACTTAATTGTGCTTGGGCGAAACCTGTACCTAGACCTGTATGAACAGAATAAAGGAACACTGTATGGTTTAAAATTAGGCAAGGTGTGTGTCACAACTATATCTTTTCTCCATAACCATTTAATCTGTGTTCTGAGATTATTCAAGAATCTGGACTCTACAAGACAATGTAGCAAAAGGATAGAAGGAAGACTTATCAATAACCTTTGTTATGCAGATGAAACAATCTTGCTTACTGAAAGTTAGGAGGACTTGAAGCATTTGCTGCAGAAGATCAAAGACTCATCCTTCAATATGGACTGCATCTTAACATCAAGAAAACAAAACCCCTCATCACTGGGCTGATAGGCTACATCATGACAGATGAAGAAAAGATTGAAACTTGTCAATGATTTCATCTTACTTGGATCTGCAATCAACATCTTTGGTACCAGCAGTCCAGAGAACAAGAGATGTATTGCACTGGGTCTGTAGTCAAGGACCTCTTGAAATTGTTGAGGAGTAATTATGTTAGTTTGAAGACTAAGGTGCACTTGAGTCAGGCCATGGTCTCTTCAGTCACTTGCTGTGTATCTGAGAAATGGACAGTGAGTAAGGATGACAGAAGAACTGATACTTTTGAATTGTGGTATTGGAGAAGAGTGCTGAATATCCTACGGACTGTCAAAAGAACAAACAGGTATATCTTGGAGAGGGTGTAGCTAGAATGCTTCTTGGAGGCAAAGATGAAGAAGCTTTGTTTCACACACTTTGGGCATGTTGCTAGGAGAAACTATTCATTGGAGAGGATCATCATGTTTGGGAATGTGGAGGGACAGCAAAGGAGAGGAAGACCCTCAACCAGGTGGACTGAGACAATGACTGCAGCAATGGGCTTGAGGGTATTAGAGACTATGAAGATGGCACAGAATAGGACAGGGTTCAGAACTGTTGTTCAAGAGTCGCTATGAGCTATATTTGACTAAATGACACATAACAACATTGGTGATCTTGGTTGAAAGTAGATCATTTGTTGCCAAAGGTCAAAGACTATAGCCTTCAATATGGATTGCATCTCAATGCAAGAAAACAAAAATCCTCATGACTTGGCCAACAGGCAACATCATGATAGATGGAGAAAGGACTGAAATTGTCAATTCATCTTACTTTGATTCTCAATCAACACTCTTGGTACCAGCAGTCAGGAGATCAGGAGACATTTTGTACTGGGAAAATCTGCTGCCAAGGATCTCTCCAAAGTGCTAGAGAGCAGTGATGTCAGTTTAAACAACTTGGATCAGGAAATCCATGGTCTTTTCAATGACTTGCCATGCATCTCAAAGTTGGATCATGAATAAGGATGACAGAAGAAGAATCAATGTCTTCAAGTTGTGATGTTACAGAACAGTGGTGTCCTGACCATACCAAGAACTGCCAAAAGAAAAGATAAATTTGTTGTGGAGGAAAGAGAACTAGGGTGCTCCTTGGAGGCAAGGATGTTGATGTTAAAACTCCATCTTAC